GAGGAGGGGGAAGCGGGACCGATTAACCACCAGTGCCGTGAGTCTGGAGATACTTGCGCAGGGCAACATATACGGGCTCCAGCTCCATACATCGGTCAACTGAGTCGTCATCCGACAGGCAAGCTTCAATTAGTTCTCTGCCTGTCTTGCTGCCGGCGTGGGAAATTATTCAAACGGCTGCGACGTTGAAATCGTGATCCGTCCCATAGGTGTGAGCCGACATTTGCGATAATGCGTCACCCAGCTTATGTTCGTGTATGCGCAAACCGAGCATGCGTCTTGCGACACACTGCGTCTCAGTGCCCACTAGGATTTAACAGATCCTTTATTCTCATGACCCGGCTGCACATAGTAGTCTTGGAACGGTGTACAATTCCGAAGCCTAGTTCCCCGGCAATGCACTCAGTCGCCTTCGACACAAGAAAGAAAGAAAGAAAGTCCACCCAAGAGTGAAACGTTGATGTCAAACACCAAATGATCTTAATGAAAGTCAAATACCCATCGTTGAGGTGGTGATTAACTACGCAAACGTTATGCGAACACGACAGCATCCACCAGAAAGCTGTGGAATCGGACGGATAAAAAATTGCTTAGTCCACGGTTGAATAGCTTAACGGGTTATTTAAGTTTTTGGCTGATTTGCTTGTAGAATGCTTTGAGTAGGGGAGGATGTCAAGAACATCGAATATTCTCCAGCACAAATAATGGGTTCCGACGAGTCATTGCTTTTCCTCTCAATTTAGTACAATGGAAAATTCAAAGCTGATAGCTGTGCGAGTTTGGGTAATCAAACAGCAATTCAAAAAGCATACTTGTATGGAGTATCATGACATGGCGAATGCTTTTTGCTAAGCATTTGAAGAGTGGCGGATTGATTCCGAAACATCTGCTTTAGTGCGCTTATTCATTGTTCACTGCAATTTCACAGGCAGCAGATTGTTTACGCTGCTTTGATTGTTAAAATTCGTTAAAATTACGGCTGGTATCTTGTCAGTTCGCTTTAATTACTATATATTGTTTGTGCGGGCTATTTAAAAGTTTGTTTAAAGAGGCCCCAATTATGTAAAATTCCGCAAACGCCAGTGGCAATATACAACTATGGAATGGTGATCAAAAACCGCATATTTTTTATTCTCCGTAGTCGAATACCCATATGTATCTCTGCATGCGAATGTTTCTATGAAAGCCTCACTGTGTGGCGGAAGATTAACTCTTCAGCCTCCTATATGATATAGGCCACACACAGTCCTGGGGCAAAGGATACCCCCATATCCTCACGCAGTGTTTCAAGGATGGGAAGCCCACCGGAGAATTTGGACCAGTTGATCCATCAAGGAATTCCACCTACGACTTCATGAGAGCTCTATTCAACGAGGTTACGAGTATGTTCCCGGAAAACTACCTTCATCTCGGAGGAGATGAGGTTGATTTCGCCTGCTGGTATGTTCCGTTTTTCTATCCATTTCATAGATAGGCAGTCAAATCCAAACGTCACAACTTTTATGGAGCAAATGAAATTTGGTCAGGACTATAAGAAACTGGAAAGCTACTATATTGCTCGACTACTGTCAACTTTGCAAAGCCTACCGAGTTCGGAAAGGAGATTGAGACCGGTAGTTTGGCAGGAGGTGTTTGACAACGCACCGGAAGTAATTTTTCGCTTGCTCAGAAAGATCGACTTTATTTTTTCTAGGTTTCCAAGGATGTGACGGTTCATGTTTGGATCGATTCGCACTGGGATACGGAACTCAGAAAGATCACTGCGGCCGGTCATGAGGCTGTTTTCTCCGCCTGCTGGTACCTCAACGTAATAGGCTATGGTGAAGACTGGCCAAAGTACTATACCTGCGACCCCGGGACTTTCACAGGTAAATCTAAAATGCATGATACCAACTACCAAGAAAAGCAAAAAAGATTGTCAAGTTACAATCCACATTGCGCTTCTCCTTAAAATGCCTTTGATATTTAAAGTTTAGTCGCTGAAAGCTTTAATTGATAAAACTTTACATGAATGACGACTAGCATGATCAACCAGAAGGATACATTGCGTACAATATCATTTTCTGAGGCATTATTACAGATATTTTTAAGTAGCTTGGTTTGGGTGGGTTAGTATCAGTGGCACAATATTTGCTGGGGTTTGATTGTATGGTTCATGGAGTGCGCATTTACTTGTAAACAAGTATAATTAATATAACTTATATGGCCCCGTAAGCAGGACAGTGGGAACTGCCCGCGATAAAGATGGGTTTGCGCCAAATTCCAGGAAATGTAGGGCCGGCTTTATAGCTAGCTTAAGCGCTAAGAAAAAGATTATGTTTAAGATGTGCGTTAAGGCAAGTTGATGGTAAGTTTACGATTAACTTAAAGGTTAGTATCAACTGCAGTTTTAGGGGTTAGGCTAGAGTTAGGACTCGGGAACATCTAAACTTCCTGAAATTATGCGCATGCCCAATTTTACTACATTGACGAGCGTTCCTTTTCACGTGTTCAGTCTGGAGATCACGTATCTGATCCCTACCGAAACTGGTAAATATTTTAATACTATTCAACATTTGTCCAGCAAAATATTTCAACCTGGCGTGGCTGCCAGCATTCTGCTTAATGCATCTTTCCGGTGTAGACTAACAGTTAACACACGATTCAACCCATATGGTAAGAAACCCCTGTCAGCCAACCACTTTCTCCTAGAACGGAAGCGTTAGGAAGTCACCAAGATTATTGCTGGAACTTGTGGTATCCATAACCGTTATCTAGATTTTACCATGTAGATTGGAGCTATATCATGCGCTATCGTCAGCTTATGCCTGCAACTTGCATCCTGTATGCTAACACAAAGAACACCTTCAAAACAAAAAA